TTTTCCAATAAGAAACATTCTAGCACGATTGGCTATCCGATAGTATATTTGTAAAACTGTAGTTTTCCTAATAATTCATTATATTAACATTGTTTTTTTTTCCTATCAAAAAACTTCTAAATTTCTTGTATGCAGAAAGAGCTGATCAGAGAAGTTGAGATGGGTCCTTTTAAGCACACGGTGGACGATGGATTGGATCTTCGTAAGGCAGCGTTCGAATGCATGTATACGTTATTGGATTCATGTCTCGACAGATTGGATGTCTTTGAATTTTTAAATCATGTGGAAAATGGTCTTAGGGATCATTATGATATTAAGATGCTGACTTATCTTATGACTGCACGACTTGCGCAATTGTGTCCGACTGCAGTCTTACAAAGTGAGTATTGTTACCTATTATGATATTTGAGGATATTTGAGGATATTTGAGGATATTTGAGGATATTTGAGGATTTTTTCTCTTTCTTTATCTCTAATATTATTATATTAGGATTGGAACGATTAGTTGAGCCCCTCAAGACTACTTGCACAATGAAAGTAAAAGCAAATTCGGTGAAGCAGGAGTATGAGAAGCAAGACGAACTGAAACGCTCTGCGCTAAGAGCCGTTGCGGCATTATTAACTATTCCTGATGCAGGTAAAAAAATTATTTCAAATTAAATTTAGATATGAGATTCATTGCAAAATTATAAATATTTTTAAATTAATAATTAAATTATACGCAATATGAAATTTACAATATGTTTACAGATAAAAATCCATCATTAAGTGAATTTGTTGGACAGATTAAAGCTACACCAGAATTGCAGCCACTCTTCGAGATAATACAAAAGGATTGCACCGGCAATAATATGAATGAAGCAAACGCGATGGATCAGAGTTAAGGATTATCAACTTAATTCTTTTTTTGTATCTCATATAAATGAACGTGGATTAAGCGCATTCGTGATCATACTTTATCCATAGTTTATTTCTATACATTATTTTTTCATCACTATATCTTCGATTTATGAAAGTAGTTTCTAATAAATGTGAGTTAATGTAGCACGCCATGTATAAATTTTAAAATAAATTTACCGGCAATAATCATTTTATTGTCTTGTATAATTTCTTATTTTATTATCAAATTGATCTGTGTGATTATTATATCAGACAGTCCATGTAAGTCAGAAGGAAGGATCTGATAAAATGTAAGAAATTATTTCTTTTTAAAGGTGACTTTCATCAATTTCCGGTTAAGTTATTTCAGTTACACGGCTGGTTATTTCATTGAAGTTGATCAATCATATTTGTTGTTAAATTTATGGGCAAATTGCGATTGATTAATTCCAATGAAATAATAAGTCGATCAAATTAACTAGAGTTGGTGAAATGGCTTTCCAGGCACCCGCTGATTTTTCACATTGTAACTATCTTGAACATAGACTTCTATATAATTCTAAACTGCTAAGACCTTGTGTTTACGATGCTAGAAATCGGTTTTAGGATGGAAAGAGAATTGACCAATCACATTGGCTAATTGGCCGAATTATTCAAACGCAATTGGTCAAATCTCTTTCCATCCGAGATCTCGGATCTATGAGTGCGTTCCACCTAATGCCTGCAATGCTCGCAGCGTCCGCAAACTCGTTCCACATAACGACCGAGATCGTTGTAATCGCGATCAGAATGTCATTAATCGCGACCGCATCGAGGTCACGGTTCGTAAGTAGGTCGGCGCGGTCATTTAAGATTTCGCCCACAGCGCTTACAAGGTAGTGGAACGGTAAATATTGCAGTCGTAGTCGTTGCGATAAGTGGAACGCACCCTGTTTCTTCCAGCATCGTGGACACAAGACCTACACCTATACAAAATAGCTCAAGAAAATGATGCGAGGTATATATAATGATGGGAATGGCATATTTTATGTAAACAAATTGAACAAATATGTTGTTCAAGAACTGAATACCCGATACAATTTGCTCGCACGAAATATGGTTGTCAGGATGCTAGCCCATGGGCATGGAAAACAGAATCGGAAAGGTGAAAAGGTGGGGACAGCACGCTCAGACTAGTGTTCCATGACGCGAAATCCACAGCGAAACGGAACGCGCGAACCAATCACAAAAGAACGAACAGAATGAAAGTTTTCTTTTGGTTCTTTCGCTGTGATTGGTTTGCACGTTCCATCCGCTGTGGATTCTGCGTCATGGGACACCAGCCTCACACTGCTTCCAAAAGAAAAGTCATAAAGAGAGCTGGAATCGCTTTCTTTGTCAAAAGATTCCCGGATTGATTAATGTTATTCTACTACCATAAGGTTAACCAATGTAGAAAAGAGATAAAGATTCCAACTTTAGTATGCCCGTCCTTTTCTCCACTGGACCGCGGTTTTCTATAGTATAGGGATGGCTCACTCCAGTATACTATAGAGTTCAATGATCTATGGATACAATATACTTGGTGCAACTAAGTTTTTGATTGACTAATCGGAACAAAGAATTTTATGAATTGACCAATCAAAAAATGCTTCGAAACATTTATAGTACCAAGTGGACATATCCTATATTACATTTGTGGAGCTTCAACAAATGTATAACCTTCACACGGCATAACGCAATCTCACGTATATATTATTTTGTTTAAATTAAATTTATTCTGAACATTCTTGTATTTATTCAAAAACGTAAGATTATTTATATATATAATATATTATATATATATTATGTTTATTTTATTATTTAGCAATGTACATACACACATATATATATGTATATATACACAATGTATATATTATTTAATGATAATACATTAAAAATTTGATGAAATTAATTTTATACACGCGCGCGCGCAGGCACGCACACACACACACACATGGACACACACACACACACACACACACAACCAAAGATTACGAAATTAAAATAGTATAGTAAAGAAG